ACCCAAGGACTTCTACTAAGGAGCTCTGTTGGTGTAATGAATAAGGCATTTGGCTGCTAACCAGAAGGTCAGTGGTTCTTGGTATAATGAATAAGACATTTGGCTGCTAACCAGAAGGCAGTGGTTCAAAGCCACCAGCCACTCCGTGGAAGGAAGATGGGGCAATCTACTTTCGTAACTACTTAGGTACGTATCTAAATCTCACAGAAGTGTTTCCCTCCAGAAACACTTACACTTTCAGCCAGAGTGTAATAGTAGGAACAATGTATATATAATAGATTATTCAGCTATTTGATAATTGTCCATTGTACTTTCATTAATGGCATTGGAATCAGGACTTTGAATGGGTTTGAAGCTGTTTAGTTATTGCTGATGGCGCATATATGTTACATAGCAACCAAATATCTTGTGTGTGGGATTTTGACCCAAGTAGAAAACAGGCCATGGTGCCCCACTCAAAATGGTGGTGAGCATGTTCAAAGCATGGCAGTTGGCCACCATCTTTGAGTGGGGCACCATGGTCTGTTTCCTCTTTGGGTCAAAATCCCATGAACAAGAAATTGGGTTGTTATGGAACGCGTACACTCCATCAGCCATGACTGAACCATTTTGAACCAATTCAAAGCCTTGAATGAAAGTCTAATAGGAGGTAATCTTTATCTTAATATTTTTCCTCCTTGCCTAAGATCCTTTCTTAATAATAATTTCTGATTTATGGTATTAATAAAAACCTTGTAATATCAGGTAAGTAATTATAATCAGAGAATTTTAACACATTATTTAAGATCTTATCATTGGTTAAAAGATCAGTAGGTCCTCATTGTTGATTATCAGATATTTTGGGGGCATGCTGAGTAATGGAGAAGTGATCAAATTGCTACTCAACATTTACCAAAGGTGAATAACTAATTTGACTATACATCATTCGGCTAGAATGACTGTTACCTTGTTTTTAACTTTTAATTCCTTGGTGATAGTATCAAAACCTTCAGGACAAAGAACTGACTTCAGGAACTCAGAGCCCATCATACTTAAATATATTCCTGAAAAATATGGGCATGAGACGATACTCAGTGTGATGTTGGCACTGGATAAATCAGATGCAATGAACCTAATTATGCAAAACAGTCATTTGGAATCTATCATTCATATGAACACTATCTAAATCAGAACTCATTTAATTAGGAAGAGAGGGAAATCTAAGGAACTTGCCTGCCCTATTCCTTTCCTTCTCTCAAAACTTTCAGTGAGTTTTATTAATACTGAATTCATAGTGCATGGCCTCAGTCATTTGGAAATGCTCCAGTTTTAGTTTGTTTAAATTTAAGGCAAAATATGCCAAAGGTAAGGATCCCTGGTAGTGTAGTGGTTAAGCACTTGGCTGCTAACCAGAAGATTAGCAATTCAAACCCACCAGCTGCTTTGTGTGAAAAAAGATGTTGCAGTCTGCTTTGGTAAAGATTACAGCCTTGGAAACACTATGGGGATGTTCCACTCTGTCCTGTAGGGTCACTATGAGTTGGAAATGTCTCAATGGTGATGAGGTTTTATATTCTTTATGCTAAAGATACCAGCAATATACTTAATCTGTCTGCAGTTTCAAAATTTTGGATGGCTTTTGTACTCAACTATATTGTTGTTGATGATGATGATGCTGTTGTTATTGTTGTTGTTGTTGTTATGTGCCATCGAGTCGGCCCTGACTCATAGTGATCCCTACTTTGGTTTCTGAGACAGTATCAGTATGGAAGTAGATTGCCCAGCCTTCCTTCCAAGGAGTGGCTGGTGGGTTTGAACCGACAGACATCTGGTTAGCAGTCAAATGCTTCAGGCACTGTCACTAACTCACGTACAAGGAGACAAATTATCACCCAGTCCTGTGCCTGCCCCATGGTCAGCTGAGAACCAGACCATTCTGATGCACAGGATTTTCATTGGTTATTTGGGGAAGCTTACCAGCTCTTTCTTCCTAGTTTGTCTTAGTCTAGAAGGTCCTCTGAAACCTGTTTAGCATCCTAGCAACATGGCAGCCTCCACTGACAGACAGGTTGTGGCTGTGATGAGATGTGTTGGCTGGGAATCTAACCTACCTCTGCTCCAAGAGAAGTAAGAGCTCCCTCAATGGACCATCAGTGCCTCACTCAGATGTGCTATGTAAGGATATCTACATCCTTCGCGTACATGATTCTGAAGAAGTAGCCCAAGTGTTGAGGGTTGGAAGACTTTGTCTTTAAAATAGCCATCAGTGGAACCCTGCATCAGCCCATCAGAGGCAGAGCTGTCTACAAACCCTATCAAGATTAAAGAATTCCAGTACCTAACATGTTAGGCTGAAATGGAGAGTTTTGAATGAGGCCTGTTCAAAGGAAATTGACAGTTAAATTCCAACATGGTGCATGGTTAGTTTTAGGTATTTAGCGCTGAAGCGTCTTTCCTAAAGTCACTTGTAGCCCTGCTCAGTTCTTGTCTGTGTTCTGTACTCACCATGGGCAGAGGATCACTCTCCTTGGCTCTTCATCATCTTTGGGCCTATGTGCCCTCCACCCCACCTACCTTAGTGAAATGACCATCGTGGCATTTCTGCTCCTGTAGTTTACACTGTCTGCTGTTGTTGGTTGCCATTGAGTTGGCTGCACTCATTGTGACCTTGTAACCAACATAACAGAACATTGCCCGGTCATCTGCCATATCCATTACCATTATCATTGGTATCTTTGAGTCCATCGTTGGAGTCCATTGTTGGAAACCATCTCATCGAGGGTTTCTCTCCTTTTTATTGACCCTCTACTTTACTAAACATGATGTCCTTTCCTATTGGTCTTAGAAGAAATACAACCAGAATGTTCCTTAAAAGTGAGGATGGCCAAACTTTGATCCGTGTTAGACACATCACCAGAAAGACCAGTCACTAGATAAAGACATGGCTTGAAAAAGTTCTAAGATACCTTAGCTGGAATAATGGCTCTCAATCAATGTCCTTTCTCTATCTGTCCTCTCAATCTCTTATCCTTATAAAACGCTCTTTCATGGTGTTCTGGAGCTGCTGTTCCTTCAAAGATTCCCGTGGTCCCCTGGTTTACAGTGCTGCTTCAACTGAATACTTCTTCCCATATTATGTACGAAGTGATCAGATTGTTGTACTTATTGTTGTTAGATGCTATTGAGTCATCTCATAGTGACCCTACACACAGCAGAATGAAACCTGCCTTGTCCTGTGCCAGCCTCACGATCCTTGCTATACCTGAGCCCATCATTGAAGCCACTCTGTCTGTCTATCTCATTGAGGGCTTTCCCCTTCTTCATTGACCCTCCATTATACTAAGCATGATATCTTTCTCCAGGGAATGGTTCCTTCTGACAACATGGCCAAAGTAGGTGAGACGAAGCCTGGCCATTCTCACATCTAAGGAGCTTTCCAGGTGCACTTCTTCCAGGACATATTTGTTAGTCCTTTTAGCAGACCATGATACTCTTAGTATTCTTCTTCTTCGGTCTTCCTTATTCATTGTCCAGCTCTCACATACATAAGAGGTGATTATAAATGCCATGGTTTGAGTTAGGTGCACGTTAGTCTTCAAGGGACATCTTTACTCTTCAGCACTTGAAAGAGATCTTTTGCAGCAGATTTGCCCAACGCAATATATCATCTGATGTCTTGACTGCTGTTTCCATTGGTGTTGATTGTAGAACCAAGTAAAGTCCTTGACACCTTCAATCTTTTCTCCATCCACCGTGAAGCTGTTTATTGAACCAGTTTTGAGGATTTTTGTTTTCTTAATATTGAGGTGTAATCCATACTGCAGACCATAGTCTTTAATCTTCATTAAGAAATGCTTCAAATCATCCTCACTGTCAGCAAGCAAAGTTGTATCATCTGCATATCGCAGGTTGTTAATGACCTTCCTCCAATCATGATGCCATGTTCTTCTTCATATAATCCAGCTTCTCAGATTATTTGCTCAGCATACATATTGAATAAGTATGGTGCAAGCATACAACCCTGACACGCTCCCTTCTTGATTTTAAACCATGAAGTATTCCCTTGTTGTGTTTGAACAACAGCCTCTTGATCTATGTACAGGTTCCTCATGAGTACAACCCAGTGTTCTGGAATTCACATTCTTCTCAATGCTATCTATAATTTGTTATGATCCACACAAGCAAATGCTTTTGCATAGTCAATAAAACACAAGTAAACTTCCTCCTGTTATTCTGTGCTTTGAGCCAAGATGCCTCTGATATCAGCAATGATATCCCTCATTTCACATCCTGTTCTGAATAAGTGATCAGAGACTGGCAAAGACTGTGAAGCTGAGTGATGGTAGCCTCCATTTATAAACCACAGTCATTTGTGATGTTCATTTGTACCTTTTCAGAGGTTGGTAGATTAAGTGCAAATGGTTCAGTTTATAGGATGGGAGAAAGGAAAATACACCTTTAAAACCTTTTTCTTTAATATCTGCTCCTCTCAAGGATTTAGTCTGTTGAAAGTCTGAATATTTTAGTTCATTCAGAGTCTGGGGAAAAACTGCTGTTGGAAACTCATTCAGGTCCAGTCTTCAGGAGTGATATCAAGATGGCCGCCATTGGGCCTCATTCCTTGCCTCATTATTTCCTTGATTTCTGTGGTAAAATTGAAGGGGAAAGGACAGTGGGCTACCTAGGGGGTTTAGGCAAATTCTATAATGGGGAGCCCAACGACACTCATTAGGGTGAGAGGAACATGGTGTTTCAGTGGCCTCATTCAATGTGCATTTATCTGGGAAACGTTATCAGCCTTTCAGAGAGATCACGGGTCTGGGAGCAAAGGCAGGCAGCTGGGTGATGCCGATAAGCTGATTAGCTTGACGTTTTGCTGCCATTTTGTGTTACTTGTTTGATTTTCTGTAGATTCCATCAATTGTGCCCTAAAACAAAATATTTTCAAATGTGCCTTTGATAACACATGTCCTGCTTGACTGGTGGTGTAGCCATAATGTCCCTCTGTGCATTTATTTCAGCTGGGTCCCGAGCCTCCTACAGCAGCCAGCACGGCCACCTGGGCCCGGAGCTGCGGGCCCTGCAGTCCCCAGAGCACCACATAGACCCCATATATGAAGACCGTGTCTACCAGAAACCCCCCATGAGGAGTCTCAGCCAGAGCCAGGGGGACCCTCTGCCGCCAGCACACACGGGCACCTACCGCACGAGCACAGGTGTGTACCCAGGACGCCATGGGGAGGAATGTCCGTGGTGGGGCAGCTGTGCATCAGCTGGGAACTTAAGTAATACTCCCTCATGAAAGACATGAGGAGTGTGTGTGTGGTGTATATGTGTGCTCGGTGAGTACATGTGAGTGTGGTATGTGATGTGTGTGGTATACATGTGTATGGGTGAGAATATGTGTTTGCATGGTGTGAGGTGTGTGGTATGTGTATATGTATAAGTGGTGTATATGCTTGTGTATATGTGTAGCGTGTGTGTACATGTGTGTGTGGTGTATGTATGAGACAGAGAATGTGGTATGTATGCATGGTGTGTGATATGCATGGTATGTGTGTGTGGTATATATAGATGTGGCATATGTGTGATATGTGTGTGTGTGTGAGAAAGAGAGTATGGTGTGTTTGATGTGTGTGATGTTTATGTGGTATATATGTATGTTCTGTATTTGCACATGTGTGTGGTTTGTATGTGTGTGAGAAAGAAATGGTGTGTGTGGTGTGTGTGCATGTTTGGTGTATATGCATGTGGTGTATCATATGGTATGTATGTGCATGTTTGTTTCATATATGTATGTGTGTGAGAATGTACATTTTCATAGTGTGTGTGTGTATGTGTGTATGATGCATATGTATGATATGTATGTATGGGGGTGTGTGATGGAAGTGGTCTGTATGCATTGGGTGTGGTGTGTATGTTTTCTGCATGTTATGTGTGCATGCATTGTGTGTGTGGCATGTGTAGTGTGGTGTGATATGGTATGTGTGGAATGTGGTATGCTTGATGTCTGTGGTATGTGCTATGTATAGTGTGGGGTATGTGAGCATATGGTATGTGTGGAATGCAATATGTTTGATGTGTGTGGTATTTGTGTGTGTGTGGTTTGTGTTTATTGTGAGTATAATTTGTGGTGTGCTTGATAGTATATATGTGATATTTTAGTGGACTGTGTATGTGTGTTATGTATGTGATATGTATTGTGTGTGAGAGGTGTGTTGTATGTATATATGGTATATGTTGTGTGGTGTATGAGTTATTGTTTTGTGGTTTGTGTATGTGGTATGTGTTGCATGGTATGTGTGTGTGTGGTGTGTGTGATGTATATTTGGTGTATGATGATGTGTGTGGTATGTATTTATGCATGTGGTATGCATGTGTATGTTATGTATGTGTGGTGTTCATGTGTGGTGTAAATGCATGTGGTGTATGTGGTTGTATGTCTGCTGTGCATGTCTGTGCTGTGTGCATGTGACTGTGTGGTGTGGGTGGTGTCTGTGGTGGTGTGCATGTGTATATTGTGTGTGTACGTGGTGTACATGGTATGCATGCCTGCGATGTGCATATGTGTGGTATGTGAATGGGTGCTATATGTATGTGTGGTGTGTGTGCATGGTGTGTGTGTGTGGGTGTGTGGTGTGCATGGCGTGTGTGTGTAGCTATTGTGTGTGTGTGGTGCAGGTTCTATGTGTATGGGTGGTGTGGATGTGTCTGTGTGCTATGTGTGTGTGGTGTGTGTGCTGAATACATGTGTGCATGCCTGTGGTGTATATGTGTAGTGTGTGTGTCTGTGGTGTGGATATGTGTTGTGTAGGTGGAGTGTGTGAGTGTGGTGGTATGGGTGATGTGTGCATGGCTGTGGGTGTAGTGTGTGTTGTGTGGGTGTGTGGTGTGCTTGTGTGTGGTGTGCTCATGAGCAGCGTGTGTAGTGTACACGTATGCATGTGTGGGGGTGGGGGTGTACGTGCGGTGTGCATATGGGTGGTGTGTGTGGTGTGCGTGTGGTGTGCATGTGTATACGTGGCTGGTGAGCATGAGTGGTGTGTGTGTGGTGTGGGTATGTGGTGTGCATGTAATGTGTGTGGGTCATGTACATGTGGGTGGTGTGCATGTGGGTATGTGGTACACATGTGGGTATGCGATATACATGTGTTCATGTGTGTGATGTGCGCGTGAGTGGTGTGTATGTGGTGTGTGCATGGGTGGTGTGCATGTGTGTGGTGTGCACATGAGTGGTGTGTGCATGGTGTGGGTAAGTGGAGTGTGTGGGTATGTGTGGTGTGTGTGTGTGGTGGTGATATGTGGTGTGAACATGAGGGGTGTGTGTGTGTGGTGTGGGTATGTGGTATGCATGTGTGAGAGGGTGTGGGGTGTACATGTGTGATGTCTGTATGTACACTCTCTGTTCTCATGAGCAGTGCTGTCAAGGATGATGATTGGAGAAACAGTGTGTGAGTGGACTTGCCCTTCCTCTGAAGGAAAGGTGTCCACTGGAAGTCACAGGTGACTGTCACTCAGGTGATGTGAAGGAAGCCATACTTGTTTTGTCATATATCTGAATTAAAGTATTTCATGAATACAAGTACTGGAAAAAAAAAAAAAAACAGCCGTTATACCGGACCTAAAAGGTGTAGGTCTAATGGTGGCAATGGATTTTTAGTGATCTACTCTACTTGTTTAGCAGCCTCAGAAAACATATATATATATATAAAACATACCATATTTTGAAAGGCAAGCTCAGAATTTATTTTCCTCTCACTGTTAGATTGAATCCTATGAAATTGTTGTCTAAGGGTCAGGTATTGGCAGTCTCCTACAGTTGAGTCACTCTACAGCTCTCATGGATTAAATATGTCGTATGAATTAACCACAGGCCTCATGGCTCATGTTTTCTAGAATATCTATCCACTTTCAAAATGATTGGTCGGAGGTCATCATGAAACATGCTGAAGCCCATTTATTTTAACAATGGCATCATTGTAACTCGAACATGTTAAGAGCTGCACTGTTCTCAGCCTCTCCCTGCTGAGTAACTGCAGAACACACTGTGTGCCTGGTACAGCCAGTGCAGCCCACTCTTTTACTTTGTCCTAACAGTGCCTGTTCCCATGGGGCCAGGTTGGGCCAAGAAAGCTGAAGCTCCAGTCCAGAGCTTGGCTCTGGGCTCTGCAGCCTCACCCTGTCCTAACTACCGGGCCACTCAGTACAGCAGGGTAATTTCCTTGGACTTTATTATGTTACTGAATTACACCTTTGAAATCAAGGCAAGCTAAGTGGCCTTTATAGCTGATAATTGATATTTATATTTCAGTCATTACTGCATCCTAGGAAGAGAAGCACAAAGTATGTGCCCTCCAGCTTTTAGAAGACCAAACCAAAACCAAATCCACTGTCATTGAATTGTTTCAGAGGCACAGCGATCCTCTGGAACAGAACAGAACTGTCCCACAGGGTTTCCAAGGCTATAAATCTTTACAAAAGCAGACTGCCTCATCTTTCTTCCATGGAGTGGCTGGTGGGTTCAAGCCACCAACCTTTTGGTTAACAGCTGCATGCTTTAGCTACTATGCCACCAGAGCTTCTTCTAACTGGCTAAAGGTGAGAAAAATGATAACTAAATAAATGGGTTTTCTTATCTACAAAGGAACTCTGGTACTGTAGTGGTAAAGTAGCCAAAAGGTTGATAACTTGAACCCATGAGCCACTCTGTGGGAGAAAGATGAGGCAGTCTGTTTCTGTAAAGATAGACAGCCTTGGAAACCCTGTGGGGCAGTTCTACTCTGTCCTATGGGGTTGCTGTGAGTTCATTCAGAGTCCAGGGAAAAACTGCTGTGGGAAACTCATTCAGGTCCAGTCTTCAGGGCCAATATCAAGATGGCCGCCATCGGGCCCCATTCCTTGCCTCATTATTTCCCTGATTTCTGTGGTAAAATTAAAGGCGCAAGGACAGTTGGATACTTAGGGGGTTTACTATCAACTACCATATTAGTGGTGGGTTTATGCAGGAAGACAGCAGTATCTTCTTAGTGCTTCAAAGGGAAAAACTTGGTGGTCTGAGTTTTCTGCAGCTGCAGACATTGGTAAAATTGTAACAGAAAAACCTCCAAGACCCCATCACAGCCTGCACTTCTGAACTTAAGGCAATTTTGTGCAAATATACTGATTGTACTCAAAACCAGGGAAATTTCCAGAAGTGTCTAGATGGTTTCTCAGGATGAGACATGGGAGAGAGTCACCTTTTACTGGCTCCTAAATGTGAAGCCACAGGCTCTCTCTCCGAACCCTACCCCAGTGGTTCTTCATTTCCACTTCCTGTTCATTTCATGCCTTCACACCTTTCCAGCCAAGCCTGGAACTCCAGGTGCTGTGTCTAGCAGCATACATGTTTGAGACAATGCCTTTAAGATATGTAAATTTCTGTTATTCATAAATTATATGCACATTACACAGTAGCATTATATCTAACATAAGAGATACCTAAAAATATAAATTAAAAATATACATAAAGCAATGTTGTACGGTTGCTTCTTCATACACAGGGGCTCACCTTGCACACACTCTGATGTACCACTACACTGGAGACCACTGGTACATACTATGAAGAGGCTAGCAGGGCCACAGTGACCACCCCTGTACCTTGGGAGAAAATGACAGGGTCATGTGAGTCCTGTTAGGCTTGCAGATCAGGAGGCCACTGGCTCTTGGCTCAGATTGCTAGCCAAGTGACTGGAGCAAGTGGTCAGATGTCACTGCTGTCAAGTGTAGACCATCAGCTGGAGTTCGTAAGTTTAATCCCTCCAGCATTTGCAGTTGGTACTTCAAGGAGTGTGGGCAGGGGCTGTTGAGGTCAGTTCCCTTTGTCAAGGGTGTCAGTTGTCAAGGGTGTATTGAGACAAGGGCACTCTTCTGAACAATTAGGGAATTACTAGATGGTGCCATGTACTCGCTATATAAAGACCGATGAGCAACGTCATGATAAATGTGGGAAACATCAAAGTATTTCATTCTATTTGGATCAACACTCAATATCCATGGAAGCAGAAATCAAGAAATCAAACAACATATTGCACTGGACAAACCTCCTGCAAAAGATCTCTTGGAAGTTTTAAAAAGCAGTGATGTCACTTGGATGATTAAGGTGCACCCGGCCCAAGCCATGGTCTTTTCAATCCTTGGGAAAGCTGGACAATGAAAGAGGAAAGTTATTGCCTTTGAA